GGGTAAAGGCGCTCGTCCTCCAGTGCTCGTCCTCCAGTGCTCGTCCTTCAGTGCTCGGTGGGTAAAGGCGCTCGTCCTCCAGTGCTCGGTGGGTAAAGGCACTCGTTCTCCAGTGCTCGGTGGGTAAAGGCACTCGTTCTCCAGGCTCGTCCTCCAGTGCTCATCCTTCAGTTCTTGGTGGGTAAAGGCGCTCGTCCTCCAGTGCTCGTCCTCTAGTGCTCGTCCTCCAGTGCTCGGTGGGTAAAGGCACTCGTTCTCCAGGCTCGTCCTCCAGTGCTCGTCCTCCAGTGCTGGGTGGGTAAAGACGCCCGTCCTTCAGTCTGATGACTCAAGTTTATCCCTGAGACTCAGATGGTGGAAGGAGAATGCTGACTCCCGCAGGTTCTCTTTTGACTTCCACATGTATGCTGTGGTGTGTGCCAATAGCACATGCATGTGCACATTCACAAATACACATGAAAAGTAAATGAAAAATTTACCCTAAGTCCAACTTTACCTTCTAAGAAGTAATCACCAAGCTGGAGGGATGGCTCAGTTTGTAAAGTGGTTGCAAGTCTGAGCCCAAATTAAATTAGGGCCCAGGTAAACAGCTCTGTGTGTGTGCGTGTGTGTGTGCGTGTGTGTGTGTGTGTGTGTGTTGCCTATGCCTGTAAACCCAGCCCAGATCAGTAAGAGTATCCTGTCTCAAAAGAACAAGATGTACAGGACTTGAGTAACACTCAGAGTTGTCTCTGGTCTCCACACTTACGTATCTGCGCACACAAAGGAAGTGCCACCATTTGTGGTTTGACCAATTGATATAAAATTTATGGGCAAGATCAAGGGCCCTTTGTTTTGCTTTGTTTTGTTTTGTCATGAAGAGAAGGCCAGGGTGTGGCTGAGTGCCCTGGTGATGCAGTTTTCAAGACCAGTCCATTCCAGTACCACCCAGCACCCCCTACTGGCCTACATTTCTGTTATCTCTGGGACTTGACTGTGATAACACATATTTTCCTTGGTGCAAGTGCTGTTAGTGTAAACCCAAGAAGTGGAAAGTCTCCATCAGAGGATCTGTGCCATTTTAAGTTCTGCACTGATTCCCTGGTGCCCTCCAGAAATGCTGTGTGACTCACTGCCCCTCCATGCTGAACACATAAGGTCCCTGTTTCTGGCAGCTTTTCCCTCCAATAGCACTGCTGTATTCTCGGGTAAGTGGACTTTAAGAGTAGGCCTGGGTGGCTGGGTGGCTGGGTGGCCATGGCTGCAAGGTGACCCATGTAGCTTTCTAAGGAGACCGGCCATTCAGCAATCTTGGAAGTCTAGATTAAGCAAAGGTAAACATTTGAGGAGGCGAACCGGAAAACTGGGAGTCAGTAGCATTGCGTCAGTCAGTATTTCTTTCTTTAGCATAGTAAGGACTTAAATATGCTCAAAACATATTCTTCTTTTTAATTTTACACAAATATGTTCCCAGGTTGACACCTCTGATGCCGAGTTTCTAGGGGGAAGAACTTCTGCTGCAAAGACAGGAAGGCTGCAGAGAGCCACTGAGGACGGCAGCACCAGAGAGAGGGCTGCCCACTCAGCACCACGCTGCCCTATACTGCTTTGGTTTGACTGCAGGTAAAGTTGCCAGAATCTCAGTGGTTTATAGCAAAGCCAAGCTTGAAAAAGGGTTCCTCTGGGCTTGATAACCTACCTGCTGCAAGGCAGGTGTGTGTCCAGAGAGGGACTAAGGGAAATGGGCCCTGCTTCACATTTGTGTAACAATCAGTCTGAAACCATTCCAAGCAGGGAAGTGAAGCAACGCGTTATCCAGAGTGATTGCTTAGTTTACTGAGCCACTACTGGGCCTGTGGTGGAGTCAAGTCCTCTAACCTGAAGCTCTCCTGCCTCCACTCCTCTGTAATGGAGGATATTTTCCATGGACTTCTCTGGAATTTTTGCCTTTTTTAAAAATTGTGTCACGTTGAGAATAGATATAAACATTTTCTGGGGGCTTGTGTGCCCCAGCCTTTATATACATGATCGAATCATCCCAGTTTCCTACTGACACAGCTCATTAGTCCCTATTTTACAGATGTGCAAGCATAGTGAGGGATTTTCTAGAGAAGAGCTGTCCAAAATGGAAGCTGCTAGCCTCTTGTGATTGGTGTTTAAATTAGATACCTTTAAATACATTTAGCTAAGTGTGTTGCTGCATGCCTGTATCAAAACATTCAGGAAACTGAGGCAAGAGGATTGTGTATTTGAAGACAGCTTGGGCTACATAATGAGTTCCAGGTCAATCTGGGCTACAGAGTGATATCCTGTCTTTAAAATACAATTTTTTTATAATGGATTCCCTAGAGTGTTCTAGCGTTGGTTTAGATCTGCAAGTGGGCTTACAAATCTTGGTCACTGTGATGGGCAGAGAAAGTGCTGGAGCTTACTGCAGGTGCAGAGATTTCACAGCTGGAATGAACCTGCCAGGGCTGAGACCAAGCAAATGGCTCAGATGGCAGAGCTGCCCTGGCCTTGCCCTTGCACTGATCTCATGTAGATCAGACTGGTCTCAAACTTACTCTGTAGCCAAGAATGACTTTGAACTTCTGTGTGCATGTGTTCATATGTATACATGTATGTGTATACAGGTTCCCATGTGTGTTGGTTCATATGTATACATGTATGTGTATACAGGTTCCCAAGTGTGTTGGTTCATATGTATGAACATCAGAGGCCTGAGGTTGATGTCTGCTATTCACTTTATACACAGAGAAGGGTCTGTCTCTGCTGGTCTGGCTGGTCAGCTTGCCCTGGGGGTTCCCTGACTATGTCTCCCAAGTGCTAGGATTACAGGTTTTGTAATCCAAAGTGCTAGGATGCCTGGCTTTGCATGGGTTATGGGAATCAAAACTTAGACCTCTGTGCTCTGCAGCAAACAGTTTATTGTAGCAAGATGGGGGCTGGCTTGTTTGGGGATTTTTCTGTCCTGCCACCAGGTCCCCACAATTGTTTAGTCCCAGAGAAAAATCACACAAAGGACTCCATAAGTTATAAAGCTGATTGGCCCATTAAGTCAGGCTACTTATTAGCTAACTCTTACATCTTAATTAACCCATTTTTCTGATCTATGATAGCCATGTGGCTCAGTACCTTTTTCAGTGGGGAAGCTCATATCCTGCTGCTTCAGTGATCTAGGCAGGAGTGAGAGAAATCAACTTCCTCCTCCCCAGAATTCTCCTGCTCTCCTTGCATCATTTCCACTTCCTGTCTGGTTTTCCCGCCTTCACCTCCTGCCTGGCCAATCAGCGTTTTATTTAAAATATGATTGACAGAATACAGACAATTCTCCCGCACCAAGTCATTTCACCAGCCCCAACCTTGAGCTGGTGAGCCTCCACCTCCTAAGTGGGATCCTAGGAATGGACCACCACACTTTTGTTACACAGCACTGGGGCACAGCCAGGCCTCATGCACACTAGACCCTCCACTTACTGAACCACACCCCAGCCCTACACTGACACTGTTTATGGAAGTGTTCCCCTCAGCCTGCACAAGCTAAGTGTGCACTGTTTTGTCATCTCTAATAAAACAGTGGGTTGGGACAATGACCAGCAGCTGCTAGGCTCCTGGAGATGGGAAGTCAGATGTTATCTTTTAATGAAATGTGAGACCATCCCTGGGGCTTCCTCATCTGAGTACCAGTGTGTAAGGAACACGGGAGCCAGACATGTGCCGCTTTATGATCTGAGTACCAGTGTGTAAGGAACACGGGAGTCGGACATGTGCTGCTTTATGGTCTGAGTACCAGTGTGTAAGGAACACGGGAGTCGGACATGTGCCACTTTATGAGGTCAAGAATAAGCAAAATCCAGACTCCAGCTAACCATAAGATGGTTCGAGTTCTTTAACAACCAAACAGAGAGTGGACTGTGTAGAAATCAGGGGAGAAGCAGCCAGCATGACCTGTCGTGACATCCGAGCCCTCTCTGGATTCTGATTTCGTGCAACTGTGTACAAAGCACTCAGGAGGCCCCAGGAACATTGAAGGGGGACCATGTTTTCACTCACATTAATGCACTACTGTTCATTTTCAAGGGAAATGGTGACAAAGTATTTTTTCTGTTGGAGTCTGATATATGTAGATGTTTGTACATTGCTCTGGGTGGTATATATGCATGAATTTGCCCTATTACCCCCACCTGTATGTGTGCTTGAAGCCATTAACAACAGGAGTAAGAGACAGCTCAGGTGGTAGGGTGGCTGCATGAGTGTTGGGGTCAGAGTTTGGATCCTCAGCACTGGAGTGCATGCCTGTGACATCAGTGTGTGACCCAGGAGGCAGGAGGATCTGTGGGCAGCCAGTTGAGCAGAGTCCCTGCCTCAAAAAATCAGGTGATGATCAAGGAAGACACCCAGCACGTACCTCTGGTCTCCACAACTGATGTGAGAGTCCCCTCTGTGTGCTGTGATTACCATTAACAAATAAAGAAACTGCTTTGGACCTCTAGCAGGGCAGAACTTAAGTAGGCGGGGAAGACAGAACTGAATGCTGGGAGGAAGAAGGCAGAGCCAGGGAGACGCTATGGAGCTATCACCTGAGTCAGACATGCTGAAACTTTTCTGGTAGGCCACGACCTCATGGTGATACACAGATTAATAGTGTTATTCCTTTTGGTCTCTGGTCCCTTTAAGGGACAAGCCACACCCACTCCCAGCAACTTCTGACCTCTGGTAGCCACCTTGGCCTCTTTCTGTTCTATCTCTTGACTCTTGGCATGTGCACACGTGTTTCTGTCTTTTCTCTCTCTCTTTCTGTCTGTCTCTGTCTTTCTGTCTCTCTCTCCTTTAAGTAATAAATGTTCAGCTTTATGTCTATTTATTATGTCTTGTAAGTCTTTTATCCGCCACCTGCTCACCCGCCAGCTTGGGTGACTCTCCCAGCCGCACGGCAGCACCAGCCTGTCCGCAGGGCAGCACCAGCCTGTCCGCACGGCAGCACCAGCCTGTCCGCAGGGCAGCACCAGCCTGTCCGGGATGAGCCACCGCTCTGCCGCTCCCCATGGGGAATCTGCACCGCTCTGCCGCTGCACATCTCTGCCTGGTTCGCGGCTGCTCTGCGAGCCCACTGCCCGGGGATCTTGGGCAGGTCACCCGGGGGGCACGCCAATATTTTTTAGGGAATATTAAATAGAAATGAGCTAAATTTATATAAGAGTTAGCCAATAAGAAGCTAGAGCTAATGGGCCAAGCAGTTTCTGTGTGATTATTTCAGGGCTAAGCTAGCTGGGAGGCTGGGAAGAACAAGTGGTTCACTCCCCCCAACACACAAGCATTCGCCCCGAACACACACACACAAGCATTCCCTCTGCACATACACACACAAGCATTCGCTCTGCACATACACACACAAGCATTCACTCTGCACATACTCACACAAGCATTTGCCCTTCACATATGCACACAAGCATTCCCTCTGCACACACACACACACAGCATTCCCTCTGCACACACACAAAGCATTCACCCTATACATATGCACACGCGCATTTGCCTTGCACATACATACACAAGCATTCCCTCTGCACATATACACACAAGCATTCCCTCTGCACATACACACACGAGCATTCCCTCTGCACATACGCACACGAGCATTCCCTCTGCACATACGCACACGAGCATTCCCTCTGCACATACGCACACGAGCATTCCCTCTGCACATACGCACACTAGCATTCCCTCTGCACATACGCACACGAGCATTCCCTCTGCACATACGCACACGAGCATTCCCTCTGCACATACGCACACGAGCATTCCCTCTGCACATACGCACTCGAGCATTCCCTCTGCACATACGCACACAAGCATTCCTTCTGCACATACACACACGAGCATTCCCTCTGTACATACACACACAAGTATTCCCTCTGCGCACACACACACACACACACAAGCATTCCCTCTGTACAGACACACATAAGTATTCCCTCTGCACATACACACACAAGCATTCCCTCTGCACATACACACACAAGCATTTTCTCTGCACATATGCACACAAGCATTCTCCCTGTACATATGCACACAAGCATTCTCCCTGTACATACGCACACAAGCATTTGCCCTGCACATACGCACATGAGCATTCCCTCTGCACACACACACACACAAGCATTCCCTCTGCACATACACACACGAGCATTTCCTCTGTACATACGCATACAAGCATTTTCTCTGCATATACGCACACGAGCATTCCCTCTGTACATACGCATACAAGCATTTTCTCTGCACATAAATACACAAGCATTCCCTCTGCACATTCGCACACAAAAAAAGGAGGAAAAGGGGAAAATTATTTTTTTCTTACCTCTCAAGGATATCAGATTATTATTAATTAGAGTTCTTTAGAGGAAAGGAATAGAAATATATATGTGTAATATATATTATATATGAACACACATGTATACATACGCACACACATATATATTTAATTATATGTGTACATATATACATACACAAACACATATATAGGGAACTTATTAGAGTGGCTAACAGACTATGGTCCGACTAACCTGACAATGCTATCTACCAAGAATGTCCAGCGGTTGTTCAATCCATGAGGCTGATATTTC